TGGCATTTCCCAGATCTTATATCTACCACATTTTCCCAATCAAAAAGAAAACGAAATCAGAACTGTAATCTTCAAGCCCTTCTTTGGACTGTAAAGAGGAGGGGCGCGGGGGAGCTATATCATTAAGTGTGTGCTTCTCTCTCACAGCTCTTCTAGCTACCCTTCCACTTTATGCAAAACAGCTCCTGTCCTGCTAGGTTCATTTCAGACTCAAAACAGGAAAAGCCCAATGAGTTTCATACCACCAAAATACTGAGCAACAGCCTAAGAGGTAACTTAGTAAGGACCTCCTAAACATTGTTTAGTCTCTGTGCAACAAGTATACAACTTGGCTTTATCCTATGGAGTGAGTTTTCAAAAAAATATTTATACTAAAAATGATTTTTCTGCGATATGTTTCAAACCAGGTAGACTAGGCAGAGTATATTCAATATTATGATGTTTTGTTATATAGCAAGCTCACTTTGCAAAGTTAATCACTGTACTGATGTTTAATGAACACTTCTATGGAAAGAGCTGTAACAGCTATTGAGACACAATTGCCAAAACGATAGTAAAAATCAATATCAAGAGTGGTTTATTGAGTTCTTCAGAAACACTGAGGCCCATGCTCAACATGTGAGATCCCATTAATGAGATAGTTATTGTTATTAGCCTGATTTATAAGCACTAAGGCCACTGAGCATTATTAACTTGCTTTGGGGCCTATCATTAGTTACAGCAAGGCCACTCAAGAAATACACAGAAAAAAAAAAATCTTTGTTATACAGTTCACGACATTATCCCCAAATAACTTACCTGTTATCAGCAGCAGAGAATTCTGATGTTTTATAATGTGTAATTATAAACATTATTACCAAGTAAATTCTGTTTTCATTTACTGTCAGTTCAGGACTGGATTAATTTTGCTTCATTTCATGTATATGATCATAGATTTAATACCTAAATTTTTAAATAAAAGTTGTGTAAAGAAAGTCAAATAGCTGTTTCCTCAAAATTTTTATGTGTATAAGTGTGCATTTACATACACATTATGGTAATATTCATTCCATACTATGAAAGAAAAGCCAACTATTTACTATTTGCAAGTGTGAGAAAAAGCCAAGTTGTAAGAATGCAACCAGACTGTTGGCATCCGGCATTGATCTAAGTGAGGTGTGGTTGTCACAGAGCTTCTCATAGAGATGACAATGGATTTATAAGGATGCCCCTGAACCTTGCTACAAAGTTCCTAAATCCCTGTACATAAATCAGTACTCCAGACTGGTCTTGCAAAGTAGATCTGAAGACTTTCTTATGAAAAAGACAGACATAGTGGTATTTCCAAATAAGGTCAATATTTCACCCATTACTGGTTTGAGAGGACCATGTTTGAAATATTTGTCTAGCAGCTACATGCAGGCAGAAGAAGACTGATAACACTGAATCCTCCCAAGCATGGTATTTGGAAACCCTGTGAAGGTTATCTCTGTCTAAGTTCATCTTCATGTAAACGTTAAACAGCTATCACTATGTCCATTTCAGAGATAAAGAAACCGAGGACTGTTTTACAAACCAACACATGAAGCCATAAATATTACTGTTACCTTAGGTCTGTCTGACTCCAAATGGTGTAAATAGTTCCGTAATATAGATGATGCTCTGCTTTCAAAGATAAAGGATGCTTACTTGTTACTTTAGTGACTAGTCTATGATCAATTCAAGAGAGAAATGGTACCAAGGGAAGAGCATGCAATGTCATGCAGTGTCTTCACACTGCTTGCTGGATTTCTTCACCATCAATGCACAGTAAACATCCAACAAAGGACTAAACATGTAAGTAAATGTGTAGAGATGTTGGTACCAGCAACTCAGACAAAATACAACATTCATGAGGCTGATGAGAAAAGAGACCCTTACTTTGAAAGGCAATAAATAAATGTAAGAATAATCCCAGTGAATACTGGAATAAGAGTGAACAGCAAGCAATATATGCTACATTCCAAAGGAAGTGTCAGAATAATATCTTTAAAAGCAAGGAAAACAATGAACCTGACAGTTAGATATACGACATGCTGAAATGATGAGGTAATGACTTTTATTTTGGCTTTGCTAAGACTGTGCTGTGAGCTTTCCAAATTTCAGTGACTCATGCAACTTACATAAGAGTTGCAAGCATTTAAACCCTGAAGAATTCTACAGCCTTGTTGCTTACAAATATTATTTCCTTTGACTGTATAGACTCCACTTAGAAGTTAACAAAAGTGTGAATGTTCTGAGTGTAACATTTCATCAAGTGACAAACAAAGGATAACTTCCTTACATGGGAGAATTTGCATTTTATGAGAAATAGAATTGCTAGGACAGGGACAGAGTTGATTTATTATTGAACTAGGACGTCTTCAGTCAAACTCCATAAAAATAAGGTAACTCCAAATCCAACTTAAGTGATGTCAAATTACTTAGACAATTTCTATGTCCTTTTGTTCTTTTCTATTTTTGTAGAAAAATGTCATTTTTAGGATGAGGGTCAGCATTTGGAAGTAGGAGTATGAAATTGGGGACCTTGAAATCAACCTGGCTCAATACCAGATTTCTCAGACAATGATTTGTGGTGAAGAGAAAACTAGTGTTTAGTACCACCTAGTTTTACCTTTCCGGATGCTCTGTGGAAAATGTAAAAAACCTTTGGGACATAAAACTGGTGAAACTGTAAGAAAAAGAAATCATTAGAGTCTTTTGATTTTTAGTTGATGCCGTTTTGGAGAAGTCAATAATATTTTCTATACTTATGAATAAATATATAGTATCAAGAAATTAAACAGTGTTCCACAGATCTCCCAGCCGGAAATTGACAAGTCAAGGGGAAAGCTCATCCTAATCTAGGACTTTTTGGAATCCAGATGTTCTAGCAACTGAGTTTGAAACCATTACCAAAAGCAGGAAAATTTTCCTCCTTATACAGTTGTAAAGTGCCAATGCACTTTCAGTGAGCAAAAAATAATCACTACTGATGTTGACAGTAGTGATATTTAAGTAGCTAAAGGTTGCAAAAATGTCTTCCTTCCTTTCATGGACCCTCCCGATTGAATGAACTCAATGAACATGATACTGGAAAAGGAACAAACATCAAAGAGACTCTGGTATGGGCTAACCTCATTATTTCTAGGAGTTTCAAAGTGAAACAGCCTTCTACCAGAAGTAGCTATGGAAAGAAACCTGTTACTCGCCTCATAATATGCAGGGGTGGGGATCTTATAAGCATAAAGGAGACATATATTTTTCCTTAAAGTTTTGACATATCCCTATATAGTCCAGAACACAGTAATGCCAATAGCAAATTCACAATGAAAAAAAATTAAAAAAAAAAAAAAAAAAACTGAAGAACACAACCAAATAAAAAGCAGCATTCTCAGCACCTCCAATTATTATTATTATTTATTTGCCAATAGCATTCTTTCTTTAAATGCTTCCCAAAGATGGCTTTAGCTATGCCAGAGATGTTCCGAAGCCTGGGACACTATTTTTTTTTCTTTTTGTCACACAACTGGGAAGGCCATGGGCCCTAGATACAAAGAGGAAAGTTGGATTCCACAAATTTTCCCAGAACAAATGTGTGACTGAATGTAATATTTGCCAAATGGAAACAACTAAAACCCATCCAGTCTATCTGGAAAGGCAAAATACCTTCTAAATACAAATATTTAATTCTATTAATCAATAACTGTAAGATAAAAGATCATGTACCCTAATCAAGTTGTATATAGAAGCCTCATAATAAAGTTAAGAGTTTTTAAAAAGAAATTATTTTCTAATTATCCTAAGGAAATCCCCCCAACATTGTGAAGCCAGAAAAAAAAGGCAAACAAACAAACAAAAAATACACATACTAGAAGTTTGCATTTAAATTAATGCATTAAAGTCTATTAAAACATGGTTCTATGCTATTTTAAAATATAATAAAATTGGGTCTGGACTCTCATACAGCATTATGCTATAGTGTGTAGACTACAAACATTTGTATGTATCATGAATAATATTAGAAGTGACATCATAATAATCAGATATACTGTATCTTCATTTTTGTTTGCATTATATTTTCCAGCTGCTGGCTTCAGAAAATTACCATTGGATTTCCTCTCTTTCCCTTGCACAGCAGAGAGCAATTTGCAAAGTCATGCAAGGGTGAAAGTGTGATTGAAATATAGCAATCTTTCTTAATGAAAAAGGTTACTGCTTTGGAAATTAAGGTTGAAACTATTTCAAAACTCTCTTACATCCTAAAAGCCTTAACCATGATGGTCTCCATTTATAAGCATATTGTAAATTATGAATTACTCAGCAGTGAACAATATGGTTATTTCCTATGGTGGTATTATAAGCAGTATATATTTATGACTTTTATTAACATTAAGTTTTGATTAGCCTTTCGATTTTCCTGAAATGAACATATTTAAGGCCCTTTAAGAGCCCATCTAATTTAACCCATAAAGCTGACCATGTTGCCAGAATCAAAGGGAAAAATCTGTGAATTGTGATTATGTCTAAATAAATATGGAGGCTCCATCCATGAATTACATCAGAACAAAACCAAAAGGATGGTTCTTTGAAGTGTTATTGTTAACTGACCAACTTGTAAGCTTTCAAATTGAGCTTGGTTTGAATTTGGATGTAGCTAAAAGTTTCCCTGTTGAGAGAGCAAGCAAAAAGAACCAACTGACTTTATGTAAGAATGAAAGAAGAAAAGACAGAAACTTCACACTGAGGTGACACTGGCTTTTAAAGTCTTCTCATTTAAATAACAATGTTTACTAAAGCTCCCATATAACCAGCATGCATGCACACACAAAGTCCATGTGTGATTTTAAATTTGAGTTGAAAATTTGTTAAAGCTTTTACAAGCTATCTGTACTTTATGTTTTTACCCTCCCCCCCCATGCCTGTCTAAAATTTAAAGGGAAAAAATGTGAAATCTGATTTAAAAAAATGAAAATGTGTACCATTTTCTATCCTCTGCCTACCTGGCCCATCCCAGTCATCTGTGTGTACTCCAGGCTGCCCGGGTTTTTCAGAATGGCTGTCCCCATCTGATTCTGTTGGCTGCTGGGTTCCTTCATCATCACCTGAAATACATGAACAGAGAATGGAGAAATGACCAAAGTCCTGTGACATTGAAATCTCGTAAAGCAATGTCCTTTTCACATAGTCTCTAACTCACTGGCTTAGAAATAATGAAAGCTACCAATATTTGTCAATAAATAAATAAAACCAAGTACTATAAATAATTAAAAACATTTGCATATACATCTTACCTTTGAATTATTGTTGTATATAAGGAGAAATCAGATAGCAATGTATAGTTTTTCTGAAACTTTGGATAAAATTAAAACCCATATTGATATTATTTCCAGATTTTAATCTTACAGGCATAATACAGAAAGCCAAATTAAATATAGAGTAAGTTGTTTTCCTGGTTTGTGTGGATTTTTATTCGTCTTGTGTTATGTTTATAAATATTAGTGCTGTTTCTCTTAAGGAGAATAAGAGCCATAATTAAATGATTAGCATGTGATATAAGCTGATGACTCTATTCGTTCCCAACAGAATACACTGTGAAGTTAAGCTTATGCTTGGATAATTGTGATACATTTCCACAATTTTATGCTTTCACTTCACAGGAAAAGAAAAAGCAAACAAACAAGCTGCAAGCAAGCAAACAAAGGCCCTGTATGTCTTGAGCAGGAATTGAGATGCAGTCAAGGAGGAAACAATACCAACACAACTGCATGTTAAGGCCAAACTCTTGAGTTTTAGTTTCTTAATTTTATATTATAAATACCAAGAAGTGTAGAGACATGAATAAGAACAATATTGAAATCATGCATACTCTACTTTGAATCAAATAACACTAACATTTCAATTTAAATGGCTATCTTACTACCTTCCTTTGAATGATTCCATAGTTACTTTCCACCTGGTCACTCAGATCTCTAATTGAACTTGAATCTCTATACAAAATATAAAAATGTCCTGTATGTTCTAATTTTAAAACTGACATATAAAATATAAATTTTAGGAAACCATTACTATACTTGACACTATTATGATTTTAGTATGAGTTTTGATGCTTAAATGTTATAAGTTTTGCTTCCCATCTTCACCTCCCTCCCATTTGTAGGTTCACAATATGAGTTAAGGAATAAGGAATTAATGGAATAAAGCTAAGGAGAATGAGAAAAGCCTGAAACACATTCTTTAAGAAAAAGCAAACAAACAAACAAAAACCCCTACCACTTTTTGAGTATAGTGCAAATAGCTGTTTGGGTTGACAATACAGAATAAAGCACACCATCAAAAACACCATAAAACTCATGAAAACTCTTTCAAAATTGGGTGACTTTCAGTATGGTCAGAAAGAATACCAATGAACATATTCATTCTTTCCAGAAACTCCGTATTGAGCATCTTGAGGAGCTATAATAGGCTCAGTAAGCTATCTGCAGAACATTCTACTGGAACTGTAGAAATCACCAAAGAGATTACATTCACAAATGACTGTGTGAGACAAAGCCACAGAGACACAAGAAAGACACAGACGCTCAATAATAGGAGATGTGTTCCAGTCTTCTATACCCATTTCCAGGTTGCATTGAGGACCATAAACACATCAACCAATTATCTTCTGAAGATCAATGGGGCATGTTCTGCTCTGTTTCCAGGACAAGGGATGGTTGATTCTCACCCTACATATTCAAGTAGGCTCTATGACCTCTAAATACTGATAGTATTGAACTAACCAGCTGGCTCTCAGCCTGCCAACCCGGCCATCGACCTGTTACCTCCCCTTCAAGTTACCTATAAGTTGCCCTGATATAGATCTAGTAAGGAGAGATTCAAATCATTTGCCTTGATAGATCAGGCCAAGGCAATTCTTTTTATTCAATTTCCAGTATGAGTCCCTGCATACAAGTGAACATTGAACTAATAATAATAGTGTGCAGGCTGGCATAATAGAATCCTGTTAGCTAGTATAGAGAATCTTAGAAACTCCCATGAGCTGGATCTTTTTCACTTGACCTTTTTTGCTGGACTCAATTGACATTCCTTTCTTTTTCCCCTGCTTCATGCTATGTAGAGCTGACTTCTGTGAACTCCTTTATCTTCTGATTTCTGTTTGCAATCATCCACTGGAAACAACGAGTGCAGATTAGAGGACAGAGTGAAGGAAGAGAGAAAGGCCATATCCTTGTCTTCCAAAGACCATCTTCCTTGACAGTTCCCTACTGCTGGGAGAGACTACACTTCAGTACTAGCTCCTGTTCAGTGTTCTCCTACAACTACAATGTCCCTGCATTAGCATCCTTTCCAATGCCTTTTGGGACAGAACTGCTTTAAGCAGTTCTTGGATGCTTTCTGGCCTTACAAGAGCCGAGGAGTCACTAAAACAATGCCTTTTAAGTTGCAGGCATCATCCTGTTGGCAACTAAGAATAAAAACACAATGGCCCCTACACATGATTTCTGGAGTAGTGTATCAGACAAAAGGACAGAGACTTGAACCCATTATGACAAGTGATAGGAACCATTCACAGTGTAACCCAAACATGAACAAACAGCCAACACATAGTACCACAGGCTGTTCCTGGGGTTAAAGAACAAATGAAACCCCCAATATATCAGGGGCATGGTTTCTGCTGACCTTGAACTCTGTGAAGTTTGTTCTAAAGACCCAAGACTGGAAACAATGTTCCAACTGAAAATAAGAGCTGTCTCATCAAAGCATGCCACAGAGGAGAGATAGAAAAAGCTTAAAATTGGCAAAAGGTTAAACTAGCATATTTCATGACATAGGAGTAGTTTCAGTGGTGTTTGAAGATAATGAAGAAAAGTTTAAGGGCTACTTGCTCTATGTGATTGTTAAATGAATGACGCCATTTCCTTATTCAGCACATGATCATATCACCCACAATCATATCACTGGTATCTAGGAGGTAAAGAAATGCCAGAATGATAGAACACGTCAGCAGGTATTTGTTATCAATGTTATTAAACTGCTTGAAATGAAACATTTTCATTTAACTTATTAAGGGCTAGAGAGAGATTATAATTTCCAATAGCCACGTTCTTTCATTAAATGTCACTAAACTGCCAATTCAAAACTGCAATGCTCCCATTTAGTTTGTCCCACCAGCTAACATCTGGAGCAAAGTTAAACACTGATAACTCTGATTTTTGAGTAAGATGATTTGTTTTTATTATGCAGCACATCATATTTGATCTAAAACAAATAAATATCAGAGTATTAAGAGTGCCATTGTAAAAATAGCTAATTATACACAATTAGAAGCAATTCATTTTGCACCTATATTGAGATGTTTAAGGAAATAGATTAGTATACTACATATCTTACTACAAAAATTAAATCTGATATGGAGCAATAAAGTTAAAATCCCAAAGCTTTAGTCTTTATGTTTTCTAAAAGAAGGAATACAAAACAGAGAAAATTACCCTAAGAGCCTAATCTGAATGCTTGTGAATGTAGAAAATAAAGTGGGTCTGTGTTTATTTTATATTGATTTGCATATAGTCCATGTGTCTAATGTTGAACTCATAAATATTAATACACTTTTAATTCCAGCACTTGGGAGGAAGAGGCAAATGGATCTCTGTGAGTTCGAGGTCAGCCTGGTCTACAAAATGAGTTCCAGGGCAGGCTCCAAAGCTACAGAGAAACCCTGTCTTGAAAAACCAAAAAACACTATATAAATATAGTGTAAATCTTATCATAAGGTCTGATTCTATCCTGAACCTCAACAGGGACACTGGCTCCTCACCATGTACTTCCCTAAGAGCTGTATTAACACTGTCTTGTGGGCTCTGTCAAGAATTTGTATTCTAACACTTCTGAAAAACAAACCAAGGGATAGAAGTGTGAGAGGATTCCCAGAAACTGAAAGCTTCAGAGACAAGATTTGATTCCACGTTTTTCACACTCCAAAGATCATCCTTTAACATGCAATAATATAATCTTGGGACTCCCGGTGTACTCAGAAGTCAAGTGTGTGCTTAACAGAGAGGCCCTGGGCCTCACCCCTACCATCAAAGCCGAACGACAAAGGACACTGCAGACATCTTCTACATGGAGAGCCACAAAGACTGCAAGATATGGTCTGCGAGTCACTTTCTCCTTCTCACAGTAAATGTCCCCATTTCTTCATTATGCTTATACACTAAGAGGAAAGGTTTAATGGACTTAATCTTTGTAATCATTACCTTTTAAAGACTCCTATTCTACCTGGCACTTAATAAAATCAACTACACATAGATGCTTGATCAATAACCATTGCTCACTGACCAGTTAGGAAATTAGATTTTTGTCTCATTCTTTTTGCCATAACCTACTGCAATATCATTACATTTGCTAATTAATTGCTTTCAGCACATTATTTCTATTTAATAACTAAAATATGTCACATTTTTCAACTTTTGGACCTTTCATCTTCTAACTTTATCTCAGGAAACTAGTTCTCATTTTTATGGTAATGTTTTTTACCTAATTCATTTTTAATCTTTTTACTAATGAAAAATGAAATGATTAAAAATAATTTAATCAAGTATGAAATCTCTGAAGTATTCTTACGAAACACCATTTTTTCACTCATAATAGACACTTGCTTCTCTCCTTTCAGTATTTTATTCTCATACAAAATTTATAAATAGAATTTTATTTTGATATTAACCCAACTCCAGCTTCTTCTTGATTAGAATAGAACTCGCCGTATTGGCTGTCTTTCTCCGTCCATTTTTGCTTCTCCCATGTTTGAAATCAGGGCTATGGACTGGCTTAGGACAAATGTCATGAATAATTACTAGCCAAGATAATAATGACAGGTCTGCTACTACGCTGCTCCAAATGCTTCCGTGGCTGGAAAAGGAAAGGCGCAGAGAAAGAAGAGCAGGACAGAGGAGCTGGGCGAGCATTTGACATCTTCTCATTTTCTCTCCGAATTCTTTATTCACATCCCTCTGAATAGACAGCTCCGTGTGTTTTCAGCAAAGCGCAAACATACTTAATGTAAGAACTGTGATATCTATCCTGAGAGTAATTCATAAAAGAATGAAAC